ACATGCTGGTAATGAGCACCGTTTATCCGGTATTTTTTGGATGTCTCCTGTTCAACAAGAACTATATCAACGATTTTTGGATGTAGTTTTAAATGACAACACCTGTAAAACAAATAAATACATGTATTTAAGTGTTTTTATGGTTAAAGACAACTATGGGAGGTTTCAGAATATCGCAAATGCACTAGTGGAAAATAAAATATCTTTAACGTATACATGGATTCTTCAATGTTTATTAAAAGCAACGGGTATTATCCCAAAATCATTTTGGACAGATTCTGAGCCTGGTTTGATTAATGCCATTTCGCAAGTCTTTCTTACTACACCACATTTTTACTGCTTATTTCATATTTGGCAAAATGCTATAAAACATCTTAAAGCCAAGTTGGGTTCAAATTTCAACCATTTTGCCAAGGCTTTCTATGCCTGCAGAAATGCGTTATGTGTAGAAATTTTTGAGAAACGCTGGATGTTAATGATAGAAAATTTTCCGGAGTGTGAAAATTACATGGCCAGATTATATACCAATCGAATCAGTTGGGCTAAGGCTTATTTACCATTACAATTTAATGCCGGCATACAAAGCACCTAAAGCGTAGAATCATTTAATAATATTATCAAAAAGTTTTTAAATGGTGTCAGCACGCTTTGTGATGTTGAAACAGCAATTGACAAAAGGCAAGAAGAAGAAATACAATATTGTCAATTATCAAATATTAAGACGCAATATACAACAATTGGCCTTCTGCATTTTTCTTTCCAATTTTTTTCAAGTATTGATAAGGTTTTTACGGAATTCTTATCACCACTTATATTATCTTGGCAGCGGTTTCAGATTTTACAATCATTCACATATGAAGGGCAATTGGTATCATATTTATCTGAGATACGAGATACAATAATATAACTAGCTTGATCGTGTACCATTTATTCAAGAGCTAACTACAGTATTTTATTTTAGGACAAAGATGCTGACACAATAGATAATAATTTTGTAGAAGATATAGATGACGAATCCTAAATAACATTAAAAGCTATGTTAGATGGTATAGATGTGACAAAAATAGTTGAAACATAGAAAATTTACCGAATTGGAGGCGTTTCTTGTAAAAGCAATCTGGTAGCTCTTTTTAATGACGGAACCCACATTTGCACCTGTTTAGAAATAATCACTAAGGGAATAATTTGTCGCCATTTTTGGCGTGTGATGCTTTATTCAAGTGCAGCGAAGTTTCATATTAGTATTATATCCGTTAGATAGTATAAAGACGAGATTCTAATGAAGTTTGATAATGTTCTTGAAAATTCACCAGTCCTTACAGCAATATTTACTAATAGTGCAATACCATATGAAGTGGATTTTACTCTCGAAAGTTTAAAACATATACAAGGGTCTGACCATAAAGAAAACATACAACAAGTTATTCCTCAAAGAAATAGGTTCGGAGTAGCGTTCTCAACTGCGAAAACGGCAATTAATATCACGTTGAAAACTAAGAGCGATAATGAGTTAGTTCAAATGTTAAAAAGCTTTATTTTATCCAAAACAAATAGTAATGAAGATAGT